TCCCGACCCCCACGTGGTGGACAGAATAACATCCCCAGAGACGTCCACGTCCCGACCCCCACGTGGTGGACAGAATAACATCCCCAGAGACGTCCACGTCCCGACCCCCACGTGGTGGACAGAATAACATCCCCAGAGATGTCCACATCCCGACCCCCATGTGGTGGACAGAATAACATCCCCAGAGACGTCCACGTCCTGATCTCGGGAAGTTATGAATATGTAACCCTACATGGCAACAGTGACTTTGTGGATTGACCAAGCTAAGGGTGCTGAGGTAGAAGTAGTGCTGGTGCCCCCGTGGCCTCCATCATCACACGGGTCCATAAGAAGAGGGAGGCAGGAGGCAGATTTGAGCACAGAAGAGGAACATACAGTGTTGACAGTGGAATCAGGAGGAACAAAGATGGGGGCCACAAGACGTGGCACCTCCAGAAGCTGGGAATGGAAGGAAACCCACTTCTGCGCCGGAGCCTACAGAAGGCACCAGCCTTGCCGACACCATGATGTTAGTTCTGAGACACTCATCTTGGAACTTCCACCCTCCGATCTGTAAGAAAATACATGTGTGCTGTTTTTGGCTGCAGGGTGTGTGCTATTTGTCACAGCAGCAAATGGAGACCGATACATAGCACGTGTCAGCCAGTGGATTTCTGGCGGGGCGTCCAGGATCCTCGGAAAGGCAGGCGCCTGGCCACGTCACAGATCTGCTGACGCAGAATCTCGGGGAAGGGCTTGGCAGCCTGTGTTAGGAAGCCGGCAGGCGACGTTCTGAGCACCTGGCACTGGCTTGCTAACCTGACCCACAACAAAACAGCAATGGTCACAGAAGATGGGTGTTTCTGCAAGCAGTCTTCCCTCTAACCCTCAGAATCCAAGCTCATCAACCAGAGAAACACAAGAGAGCAAGATACTACACCACCAACAACTAGCTCCTCTGGTGGCCTTGGGTGGTCTCAGGGCCGGGCATTATGCCCTTTCCTTAGGACACAATGCTCATGGCTTCGGGAACGCTGCTTTGTGAGCATGCAGAGGCCTGAGAATCCGAGCAACATGTGTGCTTGGAGCCACGCGAATGCCCAGAGTCACACGAGTGCTAGTGCCACGTGAGTCCTTGGAGCCACGCGAGCCCTCAAAGCCATGTGAAAGTTGGAGCCACATACATGCTGGAGCCACGTGAGTGCCCAGAGCCACACGAGTGCTAGCGCCACGTGAGTCCTTGGAGCCACGCGAGCCCTCAGAGCCATGTGAAAGTTGGAGCCACATACGTGCTGGAGCCACAGGGGCAGATGGAGCCACATACATGCTTGGAGCCACATGAGCACCAGAAGCATGGGAGGTCCACGGAGGGCCTCAAGCGAGGGGAACCCACTCACATCTGTGTGGGGAGGCTCCCTCCAGCTTAGCTTCCCATCCCCAGAGGAAAAGACAACTGGGGTTCTCAGCAGCAGTTGCACATGACACCCCCCACCCCACTGTCCCCCACTGGCTACTTTTCTTAAACATGGAGGTGAAATTCACATGCTGGAAACAGAATGATTCAGCAGTGTGTGGCACATTCACGTGGTTGGGCAACCACCACCTCTGGTTCCAGAACATTCTCATCCCCCCCCAAAGGAGGCCCCATCCCCATGAGCTCTCATTGTTTCTGCCCCCCACACACCCGATGTGGCCGTGGTGTCTGCTTCTCTCACTGAGCACCACGTGTCCGTGGTCCATCCACACTGCACTGTGTGTCCTCTCTGTGGACAGTCCATATTCTGTTGTGCAGATGGGCCTTCAGTGTATTTGTGCATCGACCATGAACGCCAGGTTGTTTCCACCCGGAGCAGTTTTCAGACAAACACCGTGGGCCTACCACAAAGTGGGAGCCCAGGCTCAGCCAGGTTTGGAGCTAGAACTGCACCCCACCAATCGCACCCCTGTGCTGTTTCAACCACACGGACATGCTCCACAGCATGCACCACAGCTGCGTCTCACGCAGGAGTCTGTAACAACAGACCACGGAACCCACAAAGAAGCCGGAGGTCAGTGCAGCATCCAGGCTGAAAACCCAGCTGCCTTCCGTGGAAAAGCACACGGAACTGGCTGCCAGAAGCACGTGGCAAAGCTTGGCACACATATCACCTCCTCGAGTCTCTGTGCAGTGACGGCTCTGTCGGTTTCAAACATGGTCATCGATGGTGTTGACTCAGGGAACCTCTACCTGCCGTGCCAAGTGGGACACACGACCATGCTGCATCACCAGCTACTGATGCACAGCATGACACAGAACAACAGGGCCTGGAGGCCCAAAGTGTCTACTGGCACAGCCACATACCCTTGACCACGGACAGGAAACAGTAAAGCCATGGACTCCACAATCAAGAAAAGGTCACTTTCTTGAAGCCAGTGGGTGCCACAAAGCCAAGACGCCCCTGCCACAGCAGTAAACTGGGGGTTATCTGTAGCACGTTTGCCAGGAGCAGTACCACAAAGCCCTCAGACCACGGGGGTCCCAATGGAAATACGTGGGACTGTGAGCATTCCCACTAGAAGGAGTCCACATGAGCGTGTGAGTCCCACACTGGCCCTCTCTGAGCTGGAGACGAGGCAAGCCCTTGGGCCAGCTGCCCGACAGGGCATGGTGGACTGAGTGTGCATGGGATGAGTGCCCAGTGGCACGGCCGGCATGTCAAGCCAGCCGCCCAGGAGGGGTCCACGCAGATAAGCCCTGTCACCTCTGTGAGGTGGATTCCACACAGCCGTTGTACGAAGGAAACCCCAAACCAAAGTAAGACATGAAACTTGACAGAGAAAGAGGGACAGGGACACAGTCACAGAGATGGACGGACAGAGGTGGACGCAGAGAGAGACAATGTGCAGCACCGGGTAGTGGGCATTACTCACTCCTCACTCCTAAACGAAAGCAACCACATCCCCACTGCACAGGGCGGCCAGACGGTCAACAAGCCCATATGCTTAGCAAGTGCCACAGCTACACAAACATTCAGTGGCCGCCAGCAACTGTTTCAGCTCTTCTGCAGTAAACCGTGCACAGCGCGTCTGTGGGAGCACACTGCACACAACACATAGCTCACACTCCTATGCAGGATGGCACAACCACCCCTGCAGAGCAGAGCCTGGGGCAGGGTGTGGACTCAACTACACGCACCTCGGAATCGATGCCACGTGTGTGTACACGTAGGTCCACACATAGATGTCACGTGGATATGTGTGCGTACAACTCAATATGTATATGCAGCTATCTACATGGGCGTACATGCACATGCACATGTACACAGGTTTGCACACCCATGCGCATGTTTGCACACGTTATGCTCTTAGCTACATGCGTGTGTGCACGTGTACACACGTGTTTGCACACCCATAGGCATGTTTATGCATATTATGCTCTTATCTACAGTGTGTGCGTGTGTGCACATGTACACAGGTGTTTGCACACCCTACACGTTTATACATTATGCTCTTATCTACATGCGTGTGTGCACGTGTACACACGTGTTTGCACACCCATACACGTGTTTATACATGTTATAAACTTATGTACACCCGCGTGCATCTAGGCACACACACACGTGTGCGCACACCCATGTGCATGTTTATACATGTTATACACACAGACACAAGATAGACAACTTCTAAACTTCTTTCCTGAAAGCCGGAAGCAGACCTGTGAGTGACAGCATGCGTGGGACCTGGCTGCAGGGTGGCATCACCCATATGGACAGGCCTTGCTCACCTGGGCGGCCGCAGCTCTTCATGCGCTCCAGGTACTGGATGAGCTCCTGGGCTTTCACCTGGTCCCCCCACCAGTAGGGGATCCCAGGCCACAGCTCCCCATGCCGGCTCACAACGCTTTCCTCCTCGTAGGACAGAATGACCTGCTGCCCGCGTGACCACAGCTGGTTCAGTGTTGGCAACTCCTGGAGCGGAAGGGGGATGGCGGTGACTGACAGAGGACTATGGGGGTGTCTGAGAGAGACAGTGGTGGTGGAGGATGAAGGTGTCTGAGAGAGACAGTGGTGGTGGAGGATCAAAGTGAGAGTCAGTGGTAGTGGAGGATGGGGTGTTTGAGAGACACTGATGGTGAGTACTAGGGAGTCTGAGAGAGACACTATGATGGAGGATGGGGGTGTCTGAGAGAGACGGTGATGGTGGAGGATCAGGGTGTCTGAGTGTTGTAGTGGAGGATAGGGTGTCTGAGAGAGATAGTGGTGGTGGAGGATCAGGGTGTCTGAGAGATGGTGATGGTGGAGGATTGGGGTGTCTGAGAGAGACGGTGATGGTGGAGGATTGGGGTGTCTAATAGACACAGATGGTGGAGGATCGGGGGTGTCTGAGAGACAGTGGGTAGTGGAGGATGGGGTGTCTGAGAGACGGTGATGGGGGTGTCTGAGAGACAGTGGGTAGTGGAGGATGGGGTGTCTGAGAGACGGTGATGGTGGAGGATCGAGGTGTCTGAGACACACAGATGGTGGAGGATCGGGGTGTCTGAGACACACTGATGGTGGAGGATCAGGGTGTTTGAGAGACGGTGATGGTGGGGGATTGGGGTGTCTGAGAGACAGTGGTGGTGGAGGATCGGGGTGTCTGAGAGATGATGATGGTGGAGGATTGGGGTGTCTGAGAAACCCAGTGATGGTGGAGGACTGGGGTGTCTGAGAGAGATAGTAGTGGTGGAGGATTGGGGTGTCTGAGAGACGGTGATGGTGGAAGATCGGGGTGTCTGACAGACACAGATGGTGGAGGATCGGGGTGTCTGAGAGACAGTGGTGGTGGTGAATGGGGGTGTCTGAGAGATGCAGTGATGTAGTGTTATAGGGGGTGTCTATAGAGGGAACATGACAGAGGGCAGGGCTGCATCCAGAACTGCACTGTGGCCTCTGGGTCCTTAGGGGAACAGGGTACTAGTTTTATTATCAGCACCCTGAGCCCACACTGACTCGCTGAGACAACTCGAATAGTGATGGGCACAAGGAAGGTCACCTTTTTAAAGGTTTTTTATTTATTTGAGAGAGAGAAAGAGAGAGAGCACGAGCAGGGGGAGGGGCAGAGGGAGAGGGAGAAGCAGGCTCCCCGATGAGCAGGGAGCCGGATGCGGGACTCGATCCCAGGACCCTGGAATCATGACCTGAGCCGAAGGCAGACGCTTAACGACTGAGCCACCCAGGCGCCCCGGAAGGTCACCTTTTACTACATTACACCCTGTCAAAGGACCGGTGCTTTTGTCCCCTGAGGCTGAACATCCGACCTCCCACCCTCTCCTGTCTCCCCTCTGACGTCCCCATGGGAGACTCAGAATGGCACTGTATCCCCAGGGCAACCGCTCCCGCCACCATCACCCCAGGATCCCCGAGCACCTGGGTGCCCTGGTTCACAGCAGCCCCATGGTCTGTGTTTTGGCCCCAAACCATGAGGGACCACAGTGCTTTCTCCTGGCTTAGGACGTAATTGGACAAACGCCAAACAAAGGGATGTAAAATGGACCCAAAATGGACATGGAGTTAATGTCTCAGGTTCCTGGAGACTAAGGGAGGCCTCTTTCCCCACCGGCCAATGGAAAAAATTATCTGGATAATAAAGCACAAGGACGGCTGGGTGGCTCAGTTGGTGAAGTGTCTGCCTACAGCTCAGGTCATGATCCCGGGGTCCTGGGATGGAGCTCCAGGTCAGGCTCCCTGCTCGGTGGGGTGTTTGCTTCTCCCTCTCCCTCTGCTGCTCCCCCTGCTTGTGTTCCCTCTCTCTCAAATAAATAAATAAAACCTTTAGAAAAAAAAGAAGAAAATAAAGCACAGGTTGTGTTGTGAGCTCAACTGTGTCCCCTCGAAAATCACACGTTGAAGTCCTCACCCTAATACCCCATAACATGACTATTTGGAGGTGGGGTCTTTAAAGAGATAATGCAGGTAAAATGAGGTCACAAGGGTGGGCCCTCATCCCATAGGACTGGGGTCCTTATAAAAAGAGGGGATGCGGACACAGACACCCACAGAGGGACGACCACATGAGGACACGGGGAGAAGACAGGGTCTCCCTCAGGAAGGACCCGCCTCAGCCCCGCCTGGCTCTCACACTCCCAGCCTCAGCCCTGCCTGGATCTCAGACCCCCAGCCTCTAGGACTGGGAGAGAATACATCTCTGTAGTTCTGAGGCTGCCCCATGGTGGACTGTGTGACAGTGGCCCTGGGGCACACCCAGAGAATGCTCAGGGCATCGAAACATGGTGGCAACTTCTAAACAGGCACTGAGTGTGACCCGAGGTGCTAGAGAAGCAGCCCTCCTCTGTCCGGGCAGCGCATGTGCCGCACCAGGCTGCACTTTGCATGGGAGGACCGGGGTCTCTCTGCTTTCGGGGCATCAAGAGGACCACACGAGCAGCCTCACCCAGCACCAGGATTCTGTCAGAATCATGCACCAGAACCAAGCAGCAGGTAAGTCTACCATCCACATCCTGCCCCACCAGCCCTGCCAAAGGGGCCCTTCTCACCCCTCGGGGACACAGCATGTCCCCAAAGATGTTCCGGATGCAGGCAACCAGGTACTCATGCAGGTCCTCCGTCATGCCCTCGAAGTTCCTGCACGCCAGGATGACAACCTCCCGGGGGTGGTTCTCCAGCCACTCTGAGATCTCCGTGAGCGTGTCCTGCGCAGGGGAGAGAGGAGCTCATGCAGACAGTCCCCAGAGAGGCCAGGAAGGTGGGGGACACTCCCACAGGTTGAAGGGGCTTTTCCAAACAACACTCACTGGACGAACGGGCCAGGTCCCGCACAAACAGATACATGCAGCAGGTGGCGGCCGTCTCAAACGCAGCCTCGCCAAAGCAACAGCTAGGCCGTCAGCCGTTGCTCAGGGGGCAGAAGCACATGCCTGGATGTGCTTGTACATGCGTGTGTGTGACTGCGTGTGTGCATGCTCACTCCAGAGGGCACCGTGGGTGCCGAGGTGTGAAGTCTGAAGTGCCAGGGAGCACGCCAAGGCCAGCCAGTGGCATGTGGAGTGACATCCCGGGGATGGTGTCTTCCTGGCCACACACACCCTGGAGGGCTTGCAGGGGGGGCCAGGGTGCCCAGAGCAGGTGTGAAGCATGACGGTGATGTGTCACATTCACACTTTGGAACCCGTCATGTAGCGGCTGGGGAGACTGAAGACACCCCAACCAAAGGCGGGAAGACAAGGAGCCCCTTTTGCAAACTCCAGGAGACACTAGAGGAGTCAGGGGTCAAGGTGCAAGCTCAGAAATGCACTCTGGTCACGAGTTCTGAAGGCCGGCCTTCTCCTGTGTGCAGTGCATGTGGGTGGAGGCCTCCCCGCTGAGCCGTGCACCCCCCGTGCCCCCGTACCTCCACCAGCGCAGTGGTGTATACCATGTGCACAAAGTGTAGATTCTTCTCAGTGCCGACAAGCATGTGTGCGATCCGCAGGTCCAGGTACCGCACCCCCGCATCCAGCTGCTTGGTGACATCCAGCACCTGCGGACAGAGGTCAGGCGTCCCTGCGGGGCACCGCGCGGCCCCCACCTCGGTGCACTGCCACCGTCCCGGGCTTGGAGTTGGGTTGGAGCTGCCAAGCTGGGGGCCACATTGTTTGATGTGCAACCAGTAGGTATTGGTTCCCGCTGGGGCTCGGGAAGCCACGTGAGCCGTGCGTTTGAGAACACGCTTTCCTGGAGACACTGGCCACGGAGAACCACAGAGGGAGGCTGGGGAGGCCCCGTCCTGCAGCACATGCCCCCCTGGGCCCTGACACTGGCCACAGAGAGCCACACAGGGAGGCTGGGCAGGCCCTGTCCTGCAGGAAATGCCCCCTCGGCCATGACACTGTTCACGGAGAGCCACACAGGGTCCTGCCTCCCCCACTTCCCAGGCAGTCACCAGGAAGGAACCCTGTCTGGGACTCAACAGCACTGGGCCAGGCTCCAGGAAGCCCCACCTGGACCCTCAGGGGGCAGGAGGCACCGTGGGGGGGTCAGCTACAGTGGGCACTGTCCCCACCCCACTAACAGCACCAGGAAGAAAGGTCACAGAGGGTCAAGGGAAGAAAAGGCTGTCCCCTTCCACACAACGTCATAATGGAAAAAGCATGAATTTCCATGGAAATACTTTTTACACCCTGGGTCCTCTTGCGGGGAGCTCGCGTTCCTCCTGCTAGTCTCCCTGCTGACAGATTAGGAAACTGAGGTTGTGAGGCTCCGTAGAGGCCCACCGTGTGCCCGGCGTGGGGTCCCCACACCCCAGCCCCAGGCCGCCTCCATGCACAACCACCTGGGAGGGACCTTGGTGCTCATGGTGGAGCCTTGCCCAGAGACCCCGAGTTCTCAAGAGGCCCAGAGTCTGGGGAAGGGAATTCTGCCGGTGACTCCCAGGGGACGGGCGGACCCTCCTGCGGCGACCCCCAGTCGGCCCAGGCCGCTGTGCACAGGCTTGTGGTCCTGCTGCCCTTGGTGGACGTTCTGGATGGAGGGAACTGAGGAAGAGACCATTGCGTCCCCTAAAACATCCCTTCCGACACGTGTGCAGTATTTTTAGACAGTAAAATAGGTGCTCATTGTTTTAATATTTGGAAAACAGCAGAAGCCAGAGAGGCCGACAATGGACCCACGCTCTCACTGCCCAGGGCTTATCTCTGCGAAATCTGGGGATGCAAACTTACAGTGCCCCGCCCCCCCGCCCCGGCAGAGAGGTCCCTGACCAGCAGGATGGGAGATCTGGGGATACAAACTTACACACCCACCCCCCCGCCCCCAGCAGAGAGGTCTCTGACCAGCAGGATGGGAGATCTGGGGATACAAACTTACAGCGCCCCCCCCACCCCCAGCAGAGAGGTCTCTGACCAGCAGGATGAGAGATCTGGGGAT